TTCTTTAAGTCCGTATTATAATATAATCCGGATAATTCTAAAATATACGGATTTATTATTTGCGGATCATATCTTTACGCTGGATAATTAATAACGCACGATTTTTTTTATATAATGCTAGTTGAACTTTAAAATCCCTATATTTAGGGTTACCTATTTGTCAAATTATTTTTGATACGAAATACAAAATTCTCCCAATAATCTCTATTATTTATTTCATATCCTAATTTTAATAAACGCTTACGTATATATTTTGGCGGATAATATTTTGCAAATCGTAACCATGCTTCTGAAGTTTTAATATTATTAGTAATATAATTTTCACCATATTCACTTAATTTATCTCGTACTCTGCTATAACTCATATTATATATTTTTACCTCAAACGTGTGGATTTTATTAAGATTTTTATTTAATTGTTATATAGCATTGAATATTTATTACACATAAAAAAAAATCTTAATAATTGATCTAGTTTCACGAAGTCTGACTCACTTGGTGAAATAACTAGGTTTGTCTGATTACTGGTATTGTGGTTTAAGCTTGAGCATCATTGCTCTTTTTTCAGCTTTTCCAGGAGATATTCCGGATGAAATCATACGTTTATATGCAAAAATTCTCCAATGCCCGTATGGGAGGGTTCGTATACCATCTAATAGAATCCAACTCTTATTATCATATAGATTTAGCCCAATTTTATTTATTCGTTCCAAATATATTTCGTGATCATAACTGCGGAGACCATTCGGGTTAGCTTCTTAGTCCTAAGACATTCTAAAAATTTATCATGTCGAAGCTCTCTCTTAACTACACATTTTTTAACACCTTTAGCCTTTTGCATTCCATGCTTTTTCTGCCAGTCTTTCATACCTTGAGATTTTCTAGATTCTTCTTCCTCTAACTCTTTCGAAATCTGCATCCGTTTCAGGAGTTTTTGGATCATGCCCAGATGGAAGGACTGAATACATTTTCGGTTTCAAACATGCTGACTCACCTATTGGATCCCATTTGTTTCATCTTTCATTAAGAATAAATCTCCTGAATAGTCGAGATCGAAAATATCTGGCCTTTCAGCTCGATCTTTATAAATGTCCTCTGTCTCAATCCACATAATGAGAGAATCTGTATCTGTATAAAGTAACCTCCATAGCGAAGCTTTATATAACCATACCAAAAGCTATACATCATAGCCTTGCTAATATCAAGAATCGCTTGTCCCACAAATATTGACTTATTTAGAGTTACTGTGCTTTTTAACATATGGACTGCTGTAATTCCTCCTTCAAATGCTTTAAAACCTGCATACAATGGTAAACTCACTAAGCGTTTAAGCTTTTTATCCTGATCGAAGTAATTCTACTCTCATATGTTTGCGAACATTTTCCATCTGTTTTCCGAATACAGCATTATTTTTAGTTTATAGTACATAACTCCAAAATTATCTTTGTTAGCTTTGGCGATTTTTCTTTTACGAATATTTTCCTCGATATAGTCTTTTATCCATGGAGATTGTTTAAACTTGAGAGCACTATGAATCTTTGTAACCTTCATTCCAAATTTTATATATGTCTAGAGAGCACGATAGTGAATTACATAATTTTTCTTGGGTAAGAGGGTTTGTAATAGCTTTTCTCCTGATGTATATGTTCCACCTCCTACTTCTTTACCTTTCATTATATGGACTAAGCCAGTTTTCCGGTACTATTTGTTTTCCGGTGCTAATGGATAATCTGCAAAGAAATCTTGTATGTTTATGGGTGCTGCTAAATCAACTTCAAGCATATAACCAATTTCTACATCAGGCGCAATACTTTGGATATCTGGTATTTCTTATGGACCTACCTTTCCTAATATCTCGGTTTGCTAGGATCATAATCAGGACATTTTTCATTATTATCTTTAGCATATCGATGACTTAAAATTGTCATTCCTCCACGAATTCCATTCTCTACCATTAAATATTGATCCATATCGGTCATGAGTTTTAGTTCTGCTCTACTGCTTTTGTATAGCGAATCGTTAAACATTCCTGGAGCTGATACGTAGTGAGAAGGATCTAAGCCATCATCTTGAAACACATTATAGTATAGTTCATAAAATGTCTGCAAGTAAGAGAACATCTGTTTCCAAGTATAAATCATAATATTCTCCGAAATTTTTCATTCCAAATTTTTGCCATACTTTTTGAGCATGTCCGTAAACTGCTTTGCTAATATTTTGCTGGTAAAGTAGAGAAGAGAAATCTTTTCTTCTTGGCAGGCTAGTTTTTTTGAATTTATCCCATGAATTTGTCCAGTCATATGGAAAAACTCCTTTTCGATTGATTATTAAATTAATTTAATCCATTGTATAACCTTTTTTACTAAGATGCTTTATTGTTAAAGGAAATTTTTCAGGCTTTCTACCTAAACTTTCTACGAGATTTTCCATACTTATTAACATACTGTATGTTGATAGCTATCTAGAAAACGGAACTGCCCCACATCCATGGCTTTATACTTACCTATATTTTCTGGTATACATTTTAGTTTATCAGATGTAAATCGAGCAACAACTTCTATAAGCAAATGGGAATCATAACCACGAAAATTATGACAAATAAGTGGTACCTTTGTTTTGTATTCCCCCATTTGTAATTTTTTATTGCAATCGCTATGAGCTGGACCTCTATATTTACCATTAATATGGTCATGATCTCGAACTTTTAATAATCCTTGATCTAACATTTGACTATCACAATACATACAGTACATTTGTAAGTTTCTTTGAATATTTTATCCTAGCAATGCTCTGTTGTTCCCACCATTTTGGACCAATTATTTCATTTCTTCGTTTACAGCCTTGATGCGCTCCTCCAATATAATTTCCAGTATTAGAACAACAAACCATTGTTTTAAGTAGAGCTTGATTCGGAAATTCTTTCTTATATATCCAACAATTTTTTGATGTTTTATGTCTTTTATAACCCTCGGGTTCCATAATTATATCCGCAGGTTCTGATAAATTTGCTTGAATTTCTTCCAGCTCCTCTTCGAGTTTGTCAACAAATCTTTGTAACGCATCTAGTCCTCTATATAAATCAAAACTTGTGATCTCATAGTCAAAAGAACTATCCATACGAATGACAGCATAACAGTAACCACAAGGTTTATGCCTTTGAATTTTCTCTGTCCGAGTTAATTGAGCATCTCTTATTTGATAAATATGCTAATTAATGCCAAACAGAGTAGCATAAAAATTCGGTTAGACTTTTTAGTTAAATTCAATAATTATTATGCATTTAGGCTTGCAAAAGAAATATAAAAACTGTAAAACGAATATATGATTAGACTTAATTTCATTAGATTTTAATAGCAAGTAGAATAGTATGAAGAGAAAATCAAACCAAAATATAGCAAAAATGTGGCCTAAAACAAAAATTCCGCCCCATAATTAGATTGAAAATGCACCCCAAACAAAATCACATCCCTTCCATTAGACTTAAATATAACCAAAAAATTGTTATCAAATTTGGGCTTCTCAGCAAGCTAGCACACTGATTTCAATGTGGTGTTGTGTCATAAAACACTCACTTTGACATTGTGTAATAGTTTTAATAAATAGTTGATGAATTTTTAATGAATAGTTGTTGAATTTTTAATGAATTTTTAATGAAATTTTTAATAAATAGTTTTAATGAATAGTTGCCAAATTATTAATAAACTATCAATAAATTTTTAATGAATTGTTAATAAATTAATACTTAATTTTATTAAATTGCTAATAAATAATTTTGTGACAAACCTTTATTAAATTGTTAATAAATTTTTTGCTAAATAGTTAATGAATTATTCATCAAATTGGTAATGAATTTTTTGATGAATTGTTAATAAATTATGAATGTATCAATTTTTACAATATTTATAGTTAAATTATATAGTTGCCGATTTATTTATATCATTTTTTTACCAAATTGTTTATTTTTTGCTAAATGTTACATGAGTAGTAGTATACTAAATAATTTTTTTAACCAATGTCATATTACTTAAAAAACTTTATTTGTATTTATTTATATTTGTCAGAAATAGATTTTATTAAAATACTGCAGTAGTATTAAAACATAAAAAATATACTAGCACTACTCTTTCCGCTGATCAAAAAATTCCCTAAAAATTTCCTTTTTTGATAATTTTCTTGGAAAACCCAAAAGTCAGTCACTACACAAGACAAAAGT